TATACAAAGAACTCTTAAAACTCAACAGTAAGAAACAACCCAATTTAAAAATGGGCCAAAGACCTAACAGACACATCACCAGAGAAGATATACAGATGGCAAACAAGCATATGAAAAGGTGTTCTACACCATGTGTCATCAGGGAAATGAAAATGAAAATGAGGTACATGCCTATTAGAACAGCCAAAATCCCCAACACTGATAACACCAAATGCTGGTGAGGATGTGGTGCAACTGGGACTCTCATTCGTTGCTGGTGGGTATGTGAAATGCTACAGTTACTTTGGAAAATGTTTTTGTTTTGTTTTGTTTTTACAAACTAAACAATCTGGGGTGTCTAGCTGACACAGTCTGTAGAGCATGCAACTCTTGATCTTGGGGTCATGAGTCTGAGCCCCATACTGGGCATTGAACCTACTTAAAAAAAAAAAAAAAACTAATCTAAATATAATCTTATTATATCATCCAGCAATTACATTCCTTGGTATTTATCCAAAAGAGCTGCAAACTTATGTTCATATACAAACCTTCACCCAGATATTTATACCAGCTTTATTCATAATTGTTAAAACTTGTAAGCAACTAAGATATCCTTTAGTAGGTGAATGTATAAATAAACGATGGTATATTCAGACGATGGACTATCACTCAGTATTAAAAAGACATGGGCTATAAGCCATGAAAAGAGAGAGAGGAACCTTAAATGCATATTACTAAGTGAAAGAAGCCAATCTGAAAAGGCTACATCCTGTATTATTCCAATTATGCAGCATTCTGGAGAAGGCAAAACTATGGAAGCAGTAGATCAATGGCTGTCAGGAGCTGTGCAGGGAGGGGAAGGGATGGATAAACTAAATTTAAAAAGCACAGACTTTTAGGGCAGCGAAAATACTGATACCATAATGACAGACACACGTCATTATACATTCATCCAAACCCACAGGATGTGCGCCACCAAAAGTTAGCCCATAAGTAAATGACAGACTCTGGTTGATTATGATGTGTCAGTGTAGGTTCGTCAATTGTAACAAATGTTCTAATGTTGATACTGGGGGAGACCGAGCATGTGCAGGGATATATGAGAAATCCGCATCTTTTCTTCAACTTTCCTGTGAACCTAAAACTGCTTTGAAGGAAGTCTTTTTTTTTTAAACAAGAGTTCTTCAAAAGAGAAACGGGTAGGTCTCATACTACCATCTGATTCAAAATTCCTCAGGGGTTCCCCAGTGCTCCCAGAAAAACCAGTGCCTTTCAGTGGCCTACATAAGGCTCTGTGTGGCCAGCCTTCCTGGCTCCGTCCCTCACATACCTGTCCCTCCCAACCTGTCTGCCAAGTTCCTGCGGCACTGACCCACTCTCTTCCTACTCAGGCCTCTATTCCCTTTACTCCAGTGATCTTTCCTCTCACTCACAAACCTGGCTTCACAAAGGGCCTCCCTGAGCATAGCGTGCAGTCCTTCGGCCCCTCCTCTCTGTCATGTCACCATGTGTACATCCTTCATACTCTCATCACAAGCTTTAGTCCCTTTATTTGCTAAGCAGGTTAATGATCATCACTCCTGAAAATATAAGCAACAAATGTAAACCCTAATAACCTAACAATATCTTTGGCACAGAGTAGATACTCAATAAAGACTTGCTGAATGAATAATACAATATTAACTTCAGGTCTTACTGCAAAAGAATATTCCCCATCCAATCTTTAAAATCAATAGTGCTTCCTTGGTCACAAATATTTCTATTAAAAAGACAAGACACCACTCTGCAACATTCATCTTCTAGACAGGATGCTTCCCTCCCCCAGGGGTACCTACCATCAACCCCCTACACCTGCAAGGGGGTCAGCGGATCTTCATGCTAACTGACAGCACCCTAATGCCACCTCGGTGGGCAGTTTTTTAAAACCGGAGCAAGGCCATCTATACATAGTCTAAATCATTCACTTAGTACTACAGGAACCATGAGCTTCCCAAACACTCTACAACTCAAATGGTTTAAGAACTGTTTCCCAAGTCTCTAGGAAGACAATAATGTCCCTGTTGTATAGTCTATTCTTAAAGTCTCGCCACAACATCTATCATTCTTGCAAGTGTTAAAATTTCACAGCTGAGCGTAATGAGACTGAAGCAGTCATTTACCTTCCAGATTAAATTTTGTTATTTCCCTGCTGCCATATCTGTCACTGGCTAGCCAGACGAAAGCATGGGAGGAGAACATTTTAAAAAAATGGTCTGGGGGCACCTGGGTGGTGGTCAGTTAAGTATCCGACTCTTGACTGCAGCTCAGGTCATGATCTAGAGTCTGGGCTCACTGTGGTGTCTACTTGCGACTCTCTCCTCTGCCCCTCCCCCGCACTCTCTCTTCTCAAATAAATAAAGCTTTAGAAAAACGAATGGTCTGTGTCTAGCTTGATGCCAGGCCACTCTTCCTTCCACACGCTCCACAATGCAGCTGCAAAGGGCTTCCTGCCACAGTCCCTGAACACGCCATGACCTGTAGGTCTTTGCAAAGACCCCCCCCTCCTCCTTTCCCGCTCCCTCCAACACACACACTGTAAGCTAGTTCTCCCCTAGGAGACCTTCGCAGACTGCCTCTGACACTTAGTTGGTCTTTCTCAGCTCTCAGAGAACATTCTGCGCCTCATTACCACACAGCAGCCCATCGTTTGTTTTCCAGCTTCTCTAATGGACTCTTGGTAGTCTTCACCTATGGCCTTCTCGTCTGTATGCTCTGCGGAGCTTCCAAAGACCACCAGTGTCTGGTACAATGAGCCCTCAACCACTGCTTGTTCAATTGAGCTCTCAAAACACTATGCCAGGATTCCCCAAGGATGACAACCCAGAATACAAGACCATGCTACCTCAGTAGCAGCAACCATTTTGCAAAAGTTCACTAGTCTCTTAAGCCCAGGCCCATTCGTTTCAACTGAACACACACTTTGAACAATTGCTCACTTCTACCTCAGCAGTTCGCGGAACTGTTAACTACTCCCTCCCGATTCTACCAAGCTCCTTGTGCTTTGTGATATCTAGAAATCTCTCCATGCTTGAACCAAAGCTTGTTTTCATTATATGTATAACTGTTACCTGATCTTCCCTTCATGTTTCCAAGCTCAATCAACAGCGCTCTTCCTGATGCTGTTTCCTTCCTTTTTCTCCCCAGTTCCAGTAGCCATCCTGTCCAAACTATACAAAAGCTAATATAAAATTTACTTCCTCAGACTCGGAAGTGTTATCTTTCTAGGAGAGGACTGGAAAACAAATCCAGTAGAGGCCCATATTCTATTGAAAAAGACAAGATTGCTACAAAATAACTTAAACCTAAGAAAGCTACTTACGGGTCACCCCTCAGGAAGATTATCCTTATCCCATCTTCCCCACCACAGTTTCAAAGCCAGTCCTGAAAACTAAGGTAAAGCAACCCCTATACCTGCACGGGCTGGTTCTCAGGTTAGAAAGCTCCCTGAGGGCAGGGACTGGGGCTAGAGCATCCCTAGAACCTCGTACGTTGCTGACATACAACAACCTCAAACAATACCTGGTGAATGAACAAACATGGGATGTAAGCTGGGCTATCCAAAAACCCACAAGGTCAGAAGCTTATCAAGGTGCACTTTGCTGGGTGTGGAAGAGTGCAAAAAGCTTAGGAGACCAGGAGACAATGGTGACTACATAAGATAGAGGGGCTTTACTCCCAGATTCTGCTCATGCTGGGTTTACCAGAAGGGAGGCAACCCCAAGTGCAACTCATCACCCCAGCGGATAAAGCAAGTGTGGGCCCAGGCTGGGACCCCCACATTCTGCCAACAGATGGAACAGAAGGGACAGAACAGAGTAAGATTCCTGAGTCTCAGCAAGAAAGTGAGGAAGAACAAAGAGCGGGGAAGAGAAGTAGAAGTAGGGCATGTGGGTAACTGCAGTGGGGGCTGCGCCTTACTGAACTGTATCAGGTGCCAGGCGCTGTGCTCCTCAGCACTTTACAGGCACTGACCCATTTGATCCTCCCACCAACACAGGGGTAGAAACCGTTATCATCCTCTACTGACGATGAAACAGCAGCGCACCTAGGTGGTACCACTTGCCCCGAGCGCACAGCTAGGAAGGGGCAAGTGCTGTGACCTGAATGCGGGTCTGATTCCAGGGTACCCCATTCTTTTTTTTTTTTTTTTAAGATTTTATTATTTATCTGACACACAGAGATCACAAGCAGGCAGAGATGCAGGCAGGAGAGAGAGGAGGAAGCAGGTTCCCTGCTTAGCAGAAAGCCCGATGTGGGGCTCGATCCCAGGACCCTGAGATCATGACCTGAGCCGAAGGCAGAGGCTTCAACCCACTGAGCCACCCAGGCGCCCCCAGGGTACCCCATTTTTGAAGCCTCAGCACCTACTCTGCCTCCCACCCCCAACGTAGCGCTGACGAGGGGTCCTTCGTTTACCCAGTTAACGACCACCTCCTGAGCACCTACTGGGTACATGCCAAGGTCTGAGCCAGCAGCGACAGTGCGCGGCGGAGGGGACCGGACTGGCAGGGTCGGGGGACTGAACGCAAAGTCAATCATGAGACGCCGGCGGTGGGAGCCTCGGGCCGGCAGGCAGGGGGACGGGGCTCGAGGGACGAGAGCAGAGGGATGAGGGATGACGGCCGAGGGATGAGGGACCAGGGTGCGGCAGACGCGAGGGAAGGCGCCGAGTGGGAGGAGCGAGGGCCCGGGGATGGTGTCGGCGGGGCAGCAGGGCCGACGACGCGTGGACGACAGCCGCCGCCCTCCGCGGACCGCTGGCTTTTGCCGGACGCCTCCAGTGCTGTGGCATTCGGGCTCGGCCACCCGGCTCGGGCGCCGCGGGGGTGGGAACGGGGGCGAGACGGGTCGTGCGACCCTGAGGCGCCGAGGCCAGGGAAGCGCGGCCTGGGGGAGGCGTGAGCAGCGGCGGAGAGACGGAGGAAGGGGCGCGGGCTGGACGGCGGGGGCAGCGGGGCCAACAGCGGCGTCGCCGGACTCACCTCCCGCGGCGGCCCCTCAGGACTCGCTGGCCCGGCCCGGCGGGAGGAGGCGGGGACGGACTCCGGGCCGCGGGGGCTGCCGGGAGCCCGTTCCCCGGGCAACGGGGCCAGTAGCGCGCTGCAACCGCAGGAGGCTGGAGCAGCCGAGCCACAAGTGGCGGCGAGCCAGCCGAGCGCGCCGGAAGGACGTCAGCGCGCTTCCGGCGGCCGTGGGCGGGGCTCCGTGCTCCTTCCCGGGATATCTGCGGACGCATGGCAGGTGCGTGCGACGGAACAGGTCCCGGGAGCCGGGAGGGTGTGCGCGTCCCCGCTGGGCCTGCAGCATGGGCCCGGGGCCGGGGGCCTGCGGGAGTGAGCAGGGGTCCCTCCCTTGGCCCAGCCCATCCCGCTGGCCTCGCGCAGGCTCGGCGGTCCGCCCGGGAGCCAGTCAGTCTGGCTGAGCCTCGGTTCCTTCCTCGTGTAGAAACCACTTGCATGGACAGGAGGGTCTGCCCATCCCGACGCTCAGAGCGTGACTGTCATTGTAAACCAGATTAGCGGAGGACACTGTGTGCCAAGCCTTGCATGGCCAGCTGCTCCCAAAACCTTCCCCTGAGTGCCCCTCAGGATTACCCGCCACAGAGCTCTATCTTGTAACACAAGCTGTCGTTCAGCGAGCACCGTGTGCCAAGTAGTGTCCCAAGTGCTTTACGTGGGTCAGCGCGATAGAGCCCCACAGGGATCCCGTGTGCTAATGTGAACGGATTGGAAACCGCGGCTCGGAAGGGACGCTAACCTCACTCTGCTCTGTTCTGTGACTCCCATAACTGGTCTTTTTCCCGACTGGCCCGAGTTTCTTGAACTTAGAACTGTGTTTTTGGTTCCTAAATACGTGCTGGGTATGGAGCAGACAGACGATGAATCAGACGGGGTCTTCACCCTCAAGGAGCCCCTCCTAGAGGAGAGAAACCCTTAGAATATTATAGGGCAGGTGATAAGGACTATTTCTCCATTTAACACATTTTATTCACCACCTACTCTGTGCTGAGGTTGGGAGAGAGAGCAAGACATAGTCACTACTCAGGTGGGCTTACGGTCAGCGGGGAATATAAACATTACACAAGCAAATATACCACACTGGTGAGTGTCAGTGATAGCTGAAGAGGTTGTTTCAGATATCCAGTGCAATGAGTTAGGACTCATTGGGTTAGACCCAACCTGGGAGATCCAGGAAGATGTCCTTGTGGAAGGAGTGATTTTTGAAAACCTACATCAGATCATGTCACTTTCCTACTCAGAGCTTATTGCTTCCTTTCCACTGACTTGGAATAAATCTAAACTCTTTGTCTTGGTCTTTGTCTTGGTCTTTAAGGTTCCAGTTGCTTGACTGTCCCCTCCACCATCCCCCCCAACCACCATTCTATTCTAGGTGATGTGGGATCATCAAGTACAAACGTCAAGAAAGAATTATTGGGATGTTGCATGGTGCAACTTAGTAAGTTTATTTAAGTAGCATGGGGCAGGACCCATGGGCAGAAAGGCTGCATTTTTGCTTAGTGGTCAAGAGGGAGGAAACATGCTGGGAGTATTATAAATTTTTCTGTGAATTTCTACTGATAAAACTACTTTAGCAAGATTTCTCTGGTGCTTATCATTCAGTTCAATATTAACTGTTGGTAAGATTTATAAGCAGTCATGAGACCCTTTAAGAATGCAGCAACTGGGGCACCTGGGTGGCTCAGTAGGTTAAGCTGCTGCCTTTGGCGCAGGTCATGATCCCAGGGTCCTGGGACCGGGCCCTCGTGTGGCTCCCTGCTTAGCAGGGAGACTGCTTGTCCCTCTCCCTGTGCCCCTCCCTCTGCTTGTGTTTTCTTTCCCTCTCTCACTCAAATGAAAAAATAAAATCTTTAAAAAAAAAAAAAAAGTGCAGCAACCAGCACATATCTGATCTTTGTTGGAACTATGTAGGCTAAAGGTCAACCTTCCAGGCTAAAGGTTTACATTTTTCTGCTTTCTATCCCTCGTCATAAACACGCTGGTCTTGCTTAATTTTTCAGACTCACCGTGCTCATTCTCACATTAGGACCTACTGCTGACCTCTCATCATTCAGGTTCCAGCCTAAATGACATCACTTCAGGGGTTCACTGTAACACAAGACCCCTTTTTCTTTTCCGTGTGGCACTTACCACAATCTGAATCGATCATGGTTATCTTGTTGTCTATCATCCACCTCCTCTTTGCAAAGTAAGTTCCATGAAAATGGCACTGGTACACCTCATTCAGTCCCTTTATCCCCTGTATCTGGCATGTTGTTGATGAGTCATATAAATAAAGACTGAAGGGATGTTTAAATAAGCAGAGCCTTAAAGGACTCTAGGAGTTAGCCAAGTGAGCGGGGACATACGCAGCCAGCAGATACATTCTAGGTCAAAGTCAGAACTTCCACAGAGCTAGCCCTAAGGCATAGAGAGCAAGCCGGGAGAAGCTGGATAAGTCCTGCCTGGTTGGCAGGACTTGCATAACAGGTGTGATTGAGGTTTATACTAACAAGTAAATATTTGGTCTTTGTCCTGTTCTTGGCAGAGAGGTAAAACCCTTGGTATTTCCTAAGTGTGAGAATGAGCAAGGTGTCTTTTGTTACATTGATGAAGTAACTTGGGAAGCCTTTGGATGGGTGCAGGTTCCCACGCGCAAACACACACATACAGTCCCCCCAGTCACATGATTACAGGGTTGGAACTGGGGCGCCTGGGTGGCTCAGTCATTAAGCGTCTGCCTTTGCTTGGGTTATGATCCCAGGGTCCTGGGATTGAGCCCGAGTCGGGCTCCCTGCTTGGCAGGAAACCTGCTTCTCCTCCCACTCCCTCTGCTTGTGTTCCATCTCTCACTGTCTCTCTCTGTCGAATAAATAAAATCTTTAAAAATCAATCAATCAATCAATAAAGGGTCGGATCTTTCAGTCCCACCTACTTCCCCCATGACCCCAGGGGAGAGGGGTTCAGGTTCATGCCTGTGTAATGAAGCCTCTGTAAAAGCCCACAAAGATGGGATTTGGGGAGTGCCAGGTTGGTGAACACATGGAGATCTGAGGAGAGTGGTGTGCTCAGAGAGCATGGAGACTCCATACCCCTTTCCACAAACCTTGCTCTATACATCTCTTCAATCTGGCTCTTTCTAATAGCAGGGGGGAAAAATACATATATATATATATATATATGTTCTGCAACTAAGACCATAAATTTGCTGACTTTAAACAGCAAATATGGGACAGGCAAGCTATGATGAGTTCTGGCAAGTTGGAAGAGACAAAGGGAAGGTCAGCTTTCCTTAAGTTTTTAGGGGGAAACTGGAGAGTTGTCATAAACAAAAATGTATTAGAGAAGAACAAGAGTTCAAGGTTGTCATGCTTTCTGCAGTGTGGTTTCTGCACTGGCTGCAGTGAGACAGTGAGAGATGGTGGTTAGTGCATTTATTGCTGGGGCAAGTGGTGGGGGCTCTTCCTTCCTTTTCTTAAAAGCAGGAGATAAAATTCCTATGTGAAGTATGTCCTCACTTGTTGAAATCATTCTTACCTTCCTTCCTCCTGCTGGTTGTGGAGGCTACAGCAAGTAGTATGTGTGTGAACACCCGCCTCTCCAGGGCTTCTGACTCCATTTTAAATGAGGCTTCCTTTATTTTCACATTTCCCTCTTTTGAGCAATTTGCTAAAAAAAAAAAAAAAAAAAAATCACTTTATCAAGAGTCAGGTTTCCTGCCTGCATTTAGTGGCTTTGTCCACTTTCCTGGTTGTCCCATCCCGTGTCAGAGGGAAAGTGTATAATGACTGGAAGCCATTGAGGGCACATGTGAGTGACAAGAAAGGGTAGGAGGGAGACCTCAGTACTTCCCATCTAAAATCTTTACCTTGGGGGCGCCTGGGTGGCTCAGTGGGTTAAGCCTCTGCCTTCAGCTCAGGTCATGATCCCAAGGTCCTGGGATCGAGCCCCGCATCGGGCTCTCTGCTCGGCGGGGAGCCTGCCTCCACCTCTCTCTCTGCCTGCCTCTCTGCCTGCTTGTGATCTGTCTGTCAAATAAATAAATAAAATCTTAAAAAAAAAATATCTACCTTGGGGCACCTGGGTGCCTCAGTGAGTTAAGCATCTGCCTTCAGCTGAGGTCATGATCCTGGGGTCCTGGAATAGAGTCCCACATCAGGCTCCCTGCTCAGCACAGGAGTCTGCTTCTCCCTCTCCCTCTTCCACTCCCCCTGCTTGTGTGCTCTCTCTCTCTCTGTATGTGTCAAATAAGTAAATAAATAAACAAATAAGATCTTTTTTAAAAAGGGCAGAATTAGGGGCGCCTGGGTGGCTCAGTGGGTTGGGCCTCTGCTTTCAGCTCGGGTCATGGTCTTAGGGTCCTGGGATCGAGCCCTGCGTCAGGCTCTCTGCTCAGCGGGGAGCCTGCTTCCCCCTCTCTTTCTGCCTGCCTCTCTGCCTACTTGTGATCTTTCTCTCTGTCAAATAAATAAATAAAATCTTTTTTAAAAAAAGGGCAGAATTAAAAATAATATAACAAATCCAGCTTGATAGTTCTAAACCAGGAGCTCAAACCTGAAGGTAACCAGCTAAATAGAATAGAAGACCAGGGGTCATTAGGGGTAATTCGTTGTAATCAGTGCTCTTGTTCCCTGATTTTGTGTAAGTGGGTTTCTGTTTCTCCAGAGGTGTTTACCCAGGTACCGCAGGTGGTATTTCTGCACAAATGCCTCCTTATTCGGCAAGTAGATTGTCCAAAATGCCTTTATTTTTATTTATTTTTTAAAGATTTTATTTATTTATTTGACAGAGAGAGAGATCACAAGTAGGCAGAGAGGCAGGCAGAGAGAGAGAGAGGGGGAAGCAGGCTCCCCACTAAGCAGAGAGCCTGATGCGGGGCTCAATCCCATGACATCATGACCTGAGCTGAAGGCAGAGGCTTAACACACTGAACCACGCAGGCGCCCCCTTTTTAAATTTTTTTTTTTTTATTTACTTGAGAGAGATAGAGAGAGAGAGCAGAGCAGGAGAGTGGGCAGAAAGAGAGGGAGAAGCAGACTGAGGGAGCCAGATGCAGAGCTCAATCCCAGGATCCTGGGATCATGACC